AATACTGTAAATTAATTGCAGTAGAATTTCACATAACCAGGCTAAGTGGGATTAAGCGTAGCAAGTTATTCAGAATACCCTTGCATACTAAAACATCACTTTCTGTAATTTAAGTTCTTATCGTAAAACAGTTTTTATTTCCTTAAAATATAATACAAAAACATTAATTTTTACAAAAAAAAAAAAAAAAAAAAAAGGAGAATGAAAATTCTTTCATTCTCCTTTTTTTTTTTTTTTTTTTTTTTTTTTGTAAAATTATGGTTAAAACGTATTATCTATCTTTCTTCTTCACAATAAAATGTCTTTGCAATTAAATAATCATCAAAATTAAAATTGAAAAAAGAATTGCTTATCCGGTATGCTAAAGTTTTAAAAAAGTATGTATATTTGCGCAAAACTAAACGTTTAGTTTACTTTCAGTCAACTGAAATAAAACTAGGACATTATTTTTTATTCATAAAAAATAATAATCAAATAATACAAGCAATATTATTCATAATTTTCGAAGAAATATGTACTTCATTAACTGTTATATTATTTACATGAATGAAATTAGAAATACATAAATAAATTAGAGATCAATTTTACTTGACCTGGAGTCCTGGAGTTCCGAACGCTGACTTTCTACTATATTTAAAGTTATGTTTACTTTATTTTAATCAGTGAGTAGTTAAGGTCACTTGCTGTTTATTTTTTAAATCTGTGTATATACGCTTTCTTTATTGCTTCAATATATTTATGGAAATAATGCCTTTTGATTTTGCTTTGAAAAGGACTTAAAGCTGTTACTTATTCGAGGCTTTTCATGAAACTCGGCACAGTTATTCGCAAAATTTATATTCTTCAAAATCATAGAATTTGTCCAAACGTTCCTTGAAATTTTAGAATCATCTATCTGCCCATAAAATTTGAAATGGTTCTCATATAACACACATAAGCTGCGTCTGCATCGTAACGGTATGTTTTTGTCACTTGACCTAAATATGACATTATAAATCTGTGCAAACTCTCCTGTTGCAATGTAAATTCAATACATCCAATTATCATAATATCGTATAATAAAATTTCGTCACGTGCTGTTTGTGACCTAAATTCGACCTTTTAAAAAACATTAATGTGTCGTAAAATATTTTTATTAATTATTATTTTTTCTTTATTATGAGTCAATGAGCTTTATTATGAGCGCGCATTCCCCCCCCATGAATATGAAAAACGTATCAGATTTCTTTTCTGTGGTTTGTTTCATTTAATTTAATGACCACAAAGCACTCAAAGGCTATCTGCCTAAGGGAAGAGATGCCTTCATGGAGGGCTTTCTAGAGGAAACTAACTCGTATAGATATTACACATGTGAAAAAATACTAAAACGCCCATGCAGCCAGCGCGTTAGCCGAGATTTTAACCCCGAATCGAACTACCAATGTTCAGTGACTTTACCGCTCGGCCTTCCGTACTCTGACACTGCGCCTTTGCTAAACAATGTAATGTCTGATGCTTTCTGGATAGCATCAAAACTATAAAAGTGTTTCAGTATTATTTTCTATCATTAATATTAACTCATAAAATGTTAATGTATGTAAACGCATAAAGTATTCCGTACCTATTTGCCACGTTTAGAGTTAATTTATAAATATACTATACTGGAAAATTTACATATTAACGTAATATGCATTACTTCCATTTCTTGGTATTAATTCATGAAACGTTTTCTGCCTTTTAGTACGAGTTACATCACTTGTTCTGAATTTGAATTAATTTCATTAAAATTAGAAATAAAAAAAAAAAGATACACGTCAGTTGCATATCTACGCATATTTAACTAAATGCAAGCATACTAATAGAATTAATAGACATGAGCACTCTATTCAGTTTTCGTCATATTTCAAGCAGAGTTACCTTCTTCCTTACGAACTCACCAGGCGAGATAACAAAACCGTTAAACTCTGATAGTTCGATCTGGAGTCAACAACTGGGAAACAGTTGGCTGATGAGCGTTTTCGCGATCCTCGGTGTAACTAACCTGAATACGAACCAAAGGCAAATAGCTTTAATGTGTTTTATTGTAATTATATAATCCAAGCTCTCTCGTATGCATTATTTTTGCTTCACTTTGAAGTAAATTTTGCTTTTATTGATAGCAGATTTAAAGACAGAAAAATTTGTTCTTTTTTTCAAGCAAAATTTATAAAAGTTCTTAAAAATAACCAAACTTCGTTGACCACCGTAAGCAACAGCTGCCTTTCTCTCCTGATATATGTTTTGGCTCTTAACATAAAGGTATCTTATGCTGCAAGTAGCATGAGCTCTCATTAAAGATCTAAATCCAGATGCTCTGTTCGAGTAGCGAGTATAACTATCTAATTAAATTTCCTCGCAGAAAGTCAACGTTGCCCCTTAGATACATTTCTTTCACAGATGAAAAACTGCACCTGACTTAATACAAAAATAGTACGCTCTTCGGAGGAGAGAGAGAATAGTGACGTAATGACCTTTGCTATTGCATCACAGGTTTTCAGTACGTAAATGGGGGTTGCCATTTAAATCGATAGAATTTCGCCAAGTGGGACGAGCTTTCTTTCGACGCCAAATGCATTTTTTTCCACTACTATTACGAATACTTATGTAAATAGTTTTTTCAAATACTCTTATATCATATTTCTGATTGTGAAAAAAATGTTAACTTTTAAAATAGCGCTTCGGTATTGATTACAACATAAAATAATGAAATAGTTTTCCACGAGGAAAAGAAAGCATATCTGATTTAGAACATATCACAAACTTTTGTGGAATAATTAATTTGTATGAAAATATTTTTATTAAAAAGGAGTTAAAGAATGTTTTAATAACCAACTGGCATTCTGAATAAATAAACACACTCTTAGCAATAATACAAGTAAAAAGCAAAGGTTTAAAATCTGAAGAATCTGAAAATAAACATCTCAAACAGTTTACAAAATATTTAATAACTTTTATGTCGTCAACAGAACTGGGAGTGAATATTTTGCTTTGGTATAATTTTAATGGAGAAATTTCTATGAAATTTAAATCAGAAAATAATTTCTACTGTAGTATCACCCTAGTATAATGTTTCAGATGTTTATCAAGAATAAATGTATTTCATAAGAGGAATGAGCTGCTTAAATTCTTTTAAATTAAACGTCAACAAGGTTAGGAACCAAAGGCATTTAGTTTATTGACGATCATTTTGTATACACTATCAATCAAAATTTCTTAACAGAGTGGATTTTTCTTTCCATTAAAGATAAATTTATGAAGGGTATAGCTACAAGGTTAAAATTATAAAATAGTTCAAAATATGTAGTCCTACGTATCAATCTTGTGCTTACGTTTTTAAACTTTCCCTTCTTCATGTTCTCTTTCAACTTTTGCAACCTCTTATCTTGTTGATAAGTAGCTTCAACATGCCTTTTTTTTATCTTAAATAGGATCTCTTGATCCTTTTTAAGATAAAATCTGGGCAGATAAGTACTTTTAACAAATTCTTTTGCTTTCGAATAAGTCCAATAGGTCAACCACAAAGTCGAAAAATTACAATATGTTCAGAAATAAAATTCTTTAGACAAGCTTAGCAGATATCGGTTTTTCTTAATTAATTAGTTTTACGTTACATAAAATAATAAAATTAGATGTTTTAATAATGAATTATGCAAAATTCAATCGTATTCTGCAAAATTTATTCACTTTGCTTGGTGTTAATGATAACATTCTGAATAAAACGGCAATATAAAGACAACAGAGTGAAATGAGCAAATAAAAATAATATTCCTACACTTTCAATAAATGATATATGATCACTTAAAAGAAACACAATTCTTTTATTACATGTAATTGTACTAATATTTTTCAGATTTTATTCTGAAACTTGCAACAGTTTTGTTGAAACACTGATGATGTAAGCCTTGACTAAATAGTAAACAAGGTAGCTGCTGCCACATAATATTATTTAGCCTTCAGTATATACTGGATTAAATTAAACTTACGTTTCGATGCTTAAAATGAAATTTATTTGCAAATAAAATATATCATGATAGATTTCAGATATTAGAAACTATTTTATAGTATTTAGAAATTTCATTAATCGAACTTACTTGGCGAAAGATTGAATTTGATAAATGATTGAAGAACAATTAAAAAATAGTGTAGTTTTAATGAGAGATCTCTCATAAAGATATCTCTCAGATAAAATTGCAATGTTATAAAAGTGTTTTGATGGTTAAGTTATTCACTAATAATACTGAAATAAACAGAATTGTGATGAAAAGTATAGAAACACGTAAATGAATTGTTCTTCATCTTTTTAATTTTTACAAGAGAAAGATGGACTTGAGAAATAAATCCGTACCGATTGGTAAAATATTATACTGATACAATTTTTTTCTGTGAAATTTTGATTATTGGGTTATCTGTAAAACTTTCAGGAAATGCTCCATAATATAATAATTTGAACCAAAACTAAAAATAACCCTATTTTAATAAACGTTATATTTCTTTATTCAGAATTTAGTATAGCTGATTATAAGCAACCGTAATGAGAGCTATATTTGTCTAAAAAAAATCCTAAAAATTAGTATCCTCTCTGCGTGTGAAATTAAAAGAAACTGTTAAAAGATATAGTTTATTGTGTTTAGCAGTTTTTTATACTCCATTTCATAACTAAGAAATTTGGTTTTGCTATATTTCTGACATGTGAAAATGACTGGGGAAGATGCACAGCGTTAGAGATTTTATTGAGCACGAAAGTCAAGTATTTGTTTTAGTTTGATGTACTGTAATGCTTTTTTAATAATACTAAAATTTATTATCATTTTATTTATTATTAAAATTCAAATAATAATTTATATAGTTACTCACATGTGAAACATACTAGCTTTTGGTACTAACACTCGCCAAATGTGAATTTTTTGGTAAAATGTTAACCATGTGTTTAGCGAAATTATGCCAAAAGTGGTTACCCATATACCGTAGAAGCAGTTTCGAACTCGCCGAAGAGTGGTGGTCACTGTTTCAGGTTCTTCGAACTATGGCAGAGATCTGTAGACAATGCTGATCACGCATGTTGCTGTCGGTGAAAATATTTAAATCCTAATTAACCGACTGAAGACCCAGCGGAGGGCATGAGAACGACTGATTACAATTATTTACATGATAAGAGTTTAGAAACTTCGTATACTGTGATACATAATGGAAGTGGAACCCTGTTTAGAAGGCAGACCTATGAAGTGAGTATCTATCATTTTTAAAATTTAGTATAATTTTTTAAAACTTTTCAAATGTTTCTTTAAATTTAAGCTTGTCCTATCTGAAATAGCATATGCTGGTGTAAGAACATTATAATGAAGAGAATGCTGTTCATATTACGTTTCTGTTTATTAATTTGGAAGGCACAAATACATTAATTTTTAATACCCAAATAAATACTGAAATGCCGAAATTCGTTAATATAAATTTTAAAATTGCGAAATTTGTTAATTTAAAGGAAGACCAAAATTTAGCATTTTATTTTAATTTGAGAAATGTAAACGCAGGGAATATTTTCCACTTTAAATGAATTTGAGATATTCAGCAGAATATTTTTGCTTTTTTGAAGGAAAAAAAAAACCTGATTCGGATATCTGTTAGATAGACGGATATTCTTTTATGGAACCTGCGCTAGCCTAAGGTTGAAACTTGCGTAATTATAACGCCCATTAGTAGCCGAATGGGTAAGAGCACCGAATACTGGTAGTTCGTTTTGGTTGCATATGAGATAGCTAAAAGGACATAGAATAGGCGTTTCACCTTTTTTTTTTCATGTTTTATATGTATACGAGTCAATTGCATCCCTTGATCAGGGTTCCCCAAACTTTTTTGTCTCTAAAGCGGCACATTCTAGAATATCTGTCTGACGGCGGGCACCATTTACTTTTTTATGGTAAATTTATAGTTGGATAGAAATACATGCATATATATATATATAAAGAGATCGGGCGCATTTCGTTTTGTATTGATATCTATGTTGAACGCAATGTCTATTTCATTAAAAGTGAGAAAACTTTCACATAGAATTTTAAATTGTGATCGCACAGCGGCAAACATACGTTAAAGCATCGGCGAGCGCCATGGTGCCCACGGGAATAAGATTGGAAACCCCTGCCTTAGATTATAAGTAGCTGTCAATTGTTTTGCCTTAAATTCGTTATTATTCCGTAAATGTGTGAAAGTATCTATGAATTTTAATAAAAAATGTGTTCAAAACACTAAATTTCTGAATTTTATTAAAAAAAGGAAATTAAGTAAAATTATAAGTGATTAGTATGCATGTATATGTGTACATAAATACACGTTTGAGTATATTTAGCCTTAGAATCCTAAACGCTTCCAGGGCCCATCAGCGGCCAAGTGTTAAAGTCGTTAACACGGGTAGTTAAATCTGGGGTTCGAATCCTGTCGAATGGGCTGGTTGCATGGGCGATTTCGTGGCTTCCCCCATGTGAAACGGGAGCCAGCTTCTCTTAGAAAGTCCTTCTCTAAGGCATTCCTCCCCTTAGATCGCCCTCGAGTGCTTTCCATAATTCTGTTAACGAACCAAAATGCTTCCCAGATGAATTTAGATAGCTTTTATTTGAACTCCTTTAGTTCAGAAATGGAATATAGTGTTATGACTTCACTTCTGTTACAAACCGTTTAAAATTCTTCTGTTAAAGTAACCAGATTCAGAAATGTACGTATACACATGTGTGTGTGTGTATGTATGTATGTATGTATGTATGTATGTATGTATGATGAATGCACGTATGTACTTACACACATGCATACTTGAAAACGTAGCATGCATGTATACATACATTTCTGAATCTAGAAGAGTACCAATTTCTATAGTTATTGTAAAATTTTACACGTATTTTTTCCTACATAGTGGTTTTAAATGTTGATAGCAAAATATAAATTTGTTTCCTACATAGTGGTTTTAAATGTTGATAGCAAAATATAAATTTGTTTCATCGATTATGCAAAGCACCCAAATACTGTGCCTAAGAAGAGGGAGGGCGTTGTGGTGATCCTGTATTGGAGAAACTGGCAGTTATTTATCTGGCTGCGTGGTTTTACTAAAACACCTATGCAGTTAAGTAGGCATTTACCTACATTTGAAAACCTGTCGAACTATCAGTGTTCATCGGTTTCATCCATTGGGCTACTTGTTGGGAAAATGGTATGAAGAACGCTGAATGAATTCGAATTTTTCCTTATGAAACTATTACTTGAATTCTCGCAATAATTTGAATTCCTTCTAAATCTCTTCTAGATCATATATAAGCTGCTAGAAGGTTACTGCCGTAATAGCCTATAATATTGGCTACTACCAAACCCGAGATACAGAACTAGAACGATTTTCCGAATAGTTGGTTGGCTCATCAATGACCGAGTTGTTAAGTTGATGAGCATTAGTAGTTCGACCTGGCTTTGATTCCAAGAGAAAGAGCTGATTTCATGGATGTTTTCGTGCTTTTCCCCCATTTGTAACGCGGATACGAGCTAACTTCCTTTTGAAAAGTAATCCACAAAGACATTTCTTAGACAGATAACCTTTGCGTGCTTTCCCATAATCATAAACTAAACCAAACCGAATAGTCGGTTATACTAAGCCAGAATGACTGGTCGGTTTCCACAGAAACAGTTGATGTAGTTTTTCAGTATTATGTTCTTGCTTTAGAAACGAGTCTTATCAACGGTTGAAAATAAAAATTCACTCAGTAAATTGGTAATTACATTCAATACAGATTTTGCAGATTTTATAAAATGTTTGTCGAATTATTTGCCTACAACGAGGGATAGTGTCATGGAGGACTTTTCTAAAATAAACTGGCGCATATTCCCGTTGCTCATGTGGAAAACCCCAAAATCTCTCATGCAGCGAAATCTCTACCGAATTATAAACTGTAGTCAAATTTACAGTATTTGATAATTGTATTCACTCGGCCACCGGGTGGACTGAAACTTGGAATGCTCTTTCAAAACCTATATACTTTATAAGTAATTCAAAGTTATTAAATAACTGACAGAACAATTAAATACTGAACTTACGAAATGAACTGAATTCACTAATACGTCATTTTGAAGCGCCATGACCGGCTTTATCCGGTCATGAGATTTTTGGTCACTCGTTATATATTAGTTTATAATTTAAAATATTTTGCTTTCATACTTTCATTAATAATATAAATATAATATTTATGAATGTAAGTTTATGAAAATGGAAAGTAAAATAGGTGAATATACATATTTAGCTATTAAAGGCTCTCTAAATACAGGTCTTCGTGACAGATCTAAAAACCCGAACCGCCCAGAGGGTTAATAACTTTCAAAATGTTTTTAAACAAAGTAGGCGTTATCGCAAGTACGGTAGAATTCCCAGGCTGCATTTATTCAGATCTTATGTTTTAAATTAAGCTAAATTAATTTACGTTTTATTTTTGATGATTTAAATAAAGTAAAATGTATTTACTTATGTGTTAGTACAATGCATATTTTATACGAAATTAAAAATTATTGTTAATTTTATTGTACTGCGCCAATCAAGAATAACGTTCTATATATGTTCTTAATTTAATAAGTACGAAATGATTATATTTTATGACTTACACATATAAAAAGCAATTATTTTGTTTAAATTAAGCACAGTTGAAAGCATTTACTTTTTAGTTTCGGGATATTAAAATGTAACTTCTTTGTCTTATTTGAAGTGGAAATTTGTTGCTTGATTAGATAATTGAAAAATTAATTTCATTTTTGATTTTATTGAAATATGTACATTTTGTATTTTGTTTGAAAGAATGAAAAAATTACTTTTTAGATCATTATATTTTAGTGGTATAGTGGTCGGAAAATTATATGTATTAAAATAAATACGTATCTGGTCTACAGCAAGCAGAATCCAATCATCAAATTTTGGGAATATTCAAGTAAACTGTTGCTCCAGTTAGCTTGGGTATTTGCAGCTCTATTATACTAAAATATCTCAAGTAACCGAATCATAAGTAATATTTAATTTGTATTTAAATAATAAATTGAGTAAAAATAAAAATTTCTAAAATTAAGCAACCAATCTTTTACTTGGTTCAAATCAGAGTTTGAGTTAGATTTAAATGTTTAACTATTCCTTTTTAAGCACTGCTGAAAATTTTTACAACTACTCTTGATTATTCAGCGTGGAAAAGTAGCGTCAATTTGTGTAAAGATTGCGAAAATTCCTTAACTGTTATTTATGTTTTCAAATCTATTTATCAAGGAAATGTACTAGCAAAAGTGACTTGCTGCACCTGCTGGAACTTTCGAATGCAGAAAATGACTCCGTTGATGACGAAAATGAGATCAAATTGCTTAAAAAAGCAGGTTGATGCCACTAACAAACAAAAAAAAAAAAAGGTTAACTTTTTCTATTGGTTGATTACTTTTGCAGAATGGGAGATTTCATGTTCTCGCATGTCTTCGTCATATAATGACTTTTCGAGTAATCCAAGTAAAACGTTCGAATTATAGTAAGGGATTGTCACGGTTATTCAAAATCCACCATTAAATAGAATTTCAAATTTTGTGTGATTGCAGCACAGATATAATACTGCCAACTGAGAGTGACTTCCTGGTGACCTGCATTTAATCATAAATTCAGAAAAAAGAATACTATATTCTCACGTGCATAAGCCGCAGCCTTAATTTTTACCATGATTTTTTTTTTAAATTCTCCTTTTCAGAAAACGGTAAATTTTAATGTAATAAATTTAGGTGTACTGAAGTACAATATTATCGCAACCACCTTGGCGCAGTTTGACGGATTTTACGGAAGAAAAAGAACAATTACTTTTATTGTGCAAATTATTTATTACACACATATTCTACGTTTCAACTGCATATTTATTCCAGTTCCATAATGCAACTAATAAACATACCTTACCCAATTTCTTATTTAAAATAGAGTTTAGAAAAAGATCTTTTATCACTCTGGAATGCAAAATGGTCACAAGAAGAAACGAGTAGAAGAACCTTCAAGTTCATATCCACTCCATTAAGACACCTTATCTTAACTAGCCGTGCCATAACATTCTTTCTAACAGCCCATGGTCCTTTTGTATCATATCTACATCGCTTTAATTTACATCACACAGATAAATCCATATGCGGAACTATCGATCAATTATGTTTGAATGTGATTTACATTTTCAACCATATACATCAGAAAATGACA